AGGCATCCACTGCTTGTGGTATAAACCCTTCTGTTTTCAGTGATCTAAGATGATGTATCACATTGAATGGAGTACATATTTACTGACTTCTTTTCTAGCGAAAGCAGATACATACAGTAAAGCCCGGTCATACATTAAGCTATGTCTAATGTGCATCAGTATTTGAAAACATTTTATTTTATGAGACGCTGTCAGCGGATGCCTAAGCCACTGCACTTTGATTGAACACTTCAATTTTACTCTCAATGTTTCATTGCATCAGTGGCGATTATAGCATTAATAAAGCATACATCATATATGGCTGACACATGTTAGCGTATCTAAATGACGTTTAATGGCCAATCAGACATCATCAAGAGCAAACAGTGATGAATAGCACAGAGCAGCTCGAGCTGTGAATGCAGCCTAAAGGTCATATCTAGATTCTGTGTGCATATCACTAACCTACTGATCAAACCGGCATCTTACACAGCTGTTGTGCGTTTGCACTCATGTAATCTTCACCGAGTGTCCCTCTACCCAGGTGGTTGTGCGATCTACATCTCTCTTCCCATTTGTTCTTTGTCTTTTTTCGAGAGCCCCGGTGCATTTGTGTATTCATCACTCTTACCTGCTGTCTGCCACAGCGAGATAGATGCTTAGGAACGGATCATTAAACAGAGTTTCGGTCCAGTGGACTGAAGCAGTAGAAGATCAGAGCTTTATGAGGATGTAAATGGCTTATCATTGTTCAACTGGCTTGAATGGACACGTCCAGCTGTTGCTCAAATAGCGACCATTGCAAGTCAAATAGCTATTTAACAGAATAATCTTAATTCAGATGTCCACTTTCTACTTCTTCTGGAAAAAGGCTAGTGAGTAGAGGTTTTAGGTAACATGGTCTGCTGCTGTGCTGCATGGTCGAGAATGAGTGGTCGTGCTCAAATCAAATAGCTGATGTACTTCTGTGGAATCAAAATGATATTAAACAATACAATGAAAATTCCTAGTTTGTATTTTTACTGCTGTGCAACTGCATTCCAAAAAAACTGACTGGTCAGACCTTTGGACCAAAATAAGTTCTCCTTGCCAAACTGCAATGTATACTATAGGTACTCCATTGTCATTCTACCCATGAGTTGCAGCTGCCAATCAATATCTTATTATCAAGGCCCCAACAACCTCACTCTCAATACAAGTATCCTGCTGCCAGCCCTGATTAATGCCAATGTGCCAATACTGGCTCCAGAGTTTTCATAGAAACAAGTTTCTTTCTTCCCTCCTGACACAGATGAACTCAGAGTAATTCCTGTTTTTTATCTGATTCCCTTTGTTTCTCAAATGAGACACTTATCTCCCAGAGACAGGTGTGAAAGTCCAGACAGTTTGTAGTTTTATACACACACACTGGTGCTGCCGCGGCTCTCTCAGCTCTCTCCCTGCTGAGAAAATGTTAAGTGTAGAATTACTACATTGGAGTTTGTGCGTCATTGATGGTTTGGTGGCTAATCCTGTGTTCCACGATGGTCCCCACTGGCGGGGCTCAGGCTGTTCAAGTGAAGGGCAGAGCCATGTTGCCAATGAACCGGCAAGTGTCCCGAGCCTTCTAATAGCTCTGGTAGGATCGTCCCTTTCCCCCGCCTCCGCTTTGATGTGGGCCCTCCTTCTCAAGCCACCGGCGATGGGGGAATAGCCTTTCATATGGGAACTACTGCACGCCCAGGGTCCTGCTCAGTCTAATCCGCCAATATGTTCCACTATGACAAATCCCAAACTGTATTAATGTCGATCCAGAAGAAGAAGAAAAAATGCTGAAGGCAGAAGTTTGTCTCCCTTACGGTTATTTTATGTTTTTTTTTTTTTTTTTTTTTATTAGGTGGGGGGGGGGGGGTTGGAGAAAGGAAAAGAGGAAGGTGAATTTTCCTCAGGAAGTTAATGAAAGTCTTTGAAGTGAGGTGAGGGAAGCTGCCACCTGCCCTGGTGATAGATAGCAGGTTCGCTATTATAAGCATTCCCAACCCCCCGCCTAGAGTTTTATGCCTTACCAGAGCCATTTGTTGATTAATTAATCAGGTAATGTATGCTATCTGTGGTACAAAAGAACCCACATATCACTCCCTCTGCCTCCTCTGGGCTCCCTGCGCAGCCACAAACTGGGATCTCCCACCAGGCCACAGCACATTCAAAAGATTACACTTCCAAAGCAGCCGCTACCACAGAGAAGCCATTTGCACAAAGCTCCTGGCTGCTTTTAATGTAAAGTTGAATAATAAACATCTGTGAGGGGAAACAGTCTCCCATTTCATGAATTTATTCACTTCCACTGGCCCAAAGTCAACCTTGTCTGATGTGATTTTTTTTTTTCTGCTTTCGGAGAAAGTTTTCAAACTGTCAAATAAAGCTCAGCTCTGAGGAAGGTAAAAATAAACTGGGAGTGAAGCACCGTGGGGCTGGGAGACTGCAGAGCTTAAGGCTTCCTCCTGTCCCGTCGCCTCAAATTGAACGGGACTGCTCAAAAAAAAAAAGCCCACGTGCAACATCATAAACAAAGTCAGTGTGTACAATGCAGGAACATCCAGTTACATTATGTTATATAAACACTCAATAAAAATCCAGTCCTTTACTGTGATTATATTTATTGAATTTCTTTTCACTTGCGGCCAAATGCCCTCATGCCCGTACACTTCCTGTTATTGCCTTGTCTTTACAATCATCATATTTGTTCATATAAGTGGCCTGGTTTCCACCGGCTTGACATTCAAAAGTCAAAAATCAAACCAGCAAGGTTTGCAGCACTTAAATTGTTTATTGAGTTTTCACATTTGAAGCCAGTAACGTGACAGTAGTTCAAAAACATAAAACAGAAATGAATGCACGTTCTCATTTCCAGTAGTTCCTTGTTTAAAAGAAGTTAGGTTTCCTGCTCAGCATTTCAGTTCATTTAACTGTCAATGTTTCCCCGATTCCATCGGAACATTCTCAACTTTTCCTCAGGCAGTATTTTAGCCAGATACTGTTTCTGTCCTGTCCTTGTGTAATCTCTCTATCATTGCCAAGATGCATTTCAGAACAGTTGAGATGATATGCAATCAAAACAGGATTGCATATCATCTCCCCCCCCATCTCTAATCATATTCATATTGTCATATTGTACTGGCTTTTTGCCTCCAGGTCACCTCATATCCTCCAGCAGTTGCCGAGTGCCTTGTTCTCTGCTTTTGATTTGAGATGTAATGAAAAAGTGAGTCAAGTTTTCCCAAACCTCCACAGTTTGTACCATCCTTCTTCTAAGCTTTCAATATTTACCTTTGAATCTGACTTGGTTTTAATTTATGGTCTTTGTTGAGCAATTATAAGCATCCACCATAACCTCAAATACAACATTCATGTCTATGAAGTGACCGATCCTCGCCTCTTTCATAAAATAATCCCTCTACTGCAATTTTCAAGGTTTTGTTACAGTCACCAGCGTGTATCGTCATGGTGTTCAGGTGGTTTCGTTCTGCATAGACTTATTTAATTAGGCTTTGCAGGTGCATATGAGAACCACGCACCATGTATCACAGAGGATACAGTAAAGTTGAATCTGCTCTATATGGTGTACAGATGTGCGTCTATGTCCATGTGCAAAATGACCATCATGTGCACTTCCTGGATATCTGTCTGTAATACTTCCTTTTTCTGTATCCTGCCGTTTAGCACTTCCTCCACAGCTGGCCTCATTGTGGAGCAACAGGAAATGACATCACGCTTTCATGATATTGCCTTTTCCTGTTCTTGGTCTCATCAGAGAGTTTATCTTTTATCCCTAAATTCTATGCACATGTATAAAGTTGGCATCTGATCTTAGTGTTATGCACAAGCACATTGTTGTGAATAATAAAGTCTCGGCAAGTGGAGTTAGACAATATGTGTGTGTGTTTTTTTGTGAGTGTGGAGCCCTGTAAATGCACTATACCCCTGTCAACTGAATGCATCCTTTCTATTTTCTATTCCTCATCATTTTCTCACACCCCTCACACAGCCAGAGTCTCCAGTCATTTATTTGCCGAGCACCGAGCTCGGCCGACCAGAGGAATTTACGATCATCGGCTTGGCTTATTCTCACCTCCTGTAAAGCTGTCACGGATTTACTGCCACCGGTGTGTCACTCCCGTCATTAAAATGTAAAAGTTTGCGACACCGCCTAGAAAGTTACAAATGATGCCACTTCCTTCACCTACATTTTGCCCGGGTTGCAGGTAGTTTGCTCCCTCCGTGCTCAAACTAAATCATGAGCTGCCACCGCTCCCCTCACTCTGAGTAAACTCTACAGCTGAGGGAGGGGAGACGGGGAGCTCATCCCCTCTTTGAACAGGGGATGAATTGACAAGCTAATAATAAGCAAAAGGCTAAGGCTAGGTTAACAGCAGATATCTGCAATAATATTTGATCACAATGTTAAAATAAATTTTAGCCCATTTTCCAACACCGCCGATGAGAAGCCGACTTCAATAACTTCAAAAGTAACAAAGCATTGAACAACAGGCGCATCCCAGCTGGGTTAACCACTTTGTTGTGTCCTCTTGGAAACACTTCTGTTCTCATTTCTGTGTTTGGTTGTGTTGTGTGTACTTTCAGCGATGATAGAGATGTTTTCTATTTGCTTGTGTTTTGTTCAGCTGCAGTGAGCTGAGCTCTCCCAGCCACTGACTTTACTATCAACACCGCACACTGAATCCTTTCTGCTGTCCTGGATGGAGTCTTGAGTTATTTTCTGATATGGCTTGCTGCATTTTGATTACATTTATATGAGGAAGGCCAAGTTCTTCTTCCAATAACCAATGGGTGCCTAGGGAGACTCCTGAGCTGTTTCCCCTCTACAAACCCAATCTGAAGATTTTGACAGTTTGACACTTTAATTTCCTACTGAGTATTTCAAATGAAATTCCTGGACAAAGGAATATACTTGCTGCTGTAAAAAAAAAGAAAGTAAAGCCTGGGCCTCAATTAAATCCACTCTGCCCTTCTCTTTTACTCAGGTTTGTAAAGCACCGGAGGGATGAGCGGCCAGGGGACAGGATGGAGAGGAAGAGTTCCAGTAAATCTAAAGCCGAGGACATGCAGGCGTCAGAGGAGGAGACCCTGCGGATGAGGCTGGAACAAGAGAGGTGAGTGCTCCAACAGGGCTTTGGTTGCTAAAAGCCTAAACAATTAAGGGGGGGGGGGGCACTGCTGAAAGGAAAATTAGCAAACTACCTAATTAACAAAATGGTGGAGCAAGGTTGGGGAATTCTGGGAAAGCACTCAGATGTCAATTTGTGAAATGTCCTTTTTCTTTTATATCAGTACATTAAATAGATCATTTATGGATTGTTGTTTCCTGTGCCATTCAGAGGCACTGACCTCCTAATGTTGCTCGTAGGCCCCTGTGGATTTGGCATGATTGAATGGCGCTCATTATAATGGTGAAATCGATGTAGCTCCGCATTTGTCTTCTCCTGCAGCTCTCCCAGGTTGTTAATCGCTGAAGAATATGCAGTTCCTTTCTATCCAGCCCTCTTGGCTCCGTGTCCTCTGGTGTTTGTGGACATCAGGACGTCCAGAAGAATTAGGCAAAGCATTGGTTTTGCCGTGTGCGCCTCATCCCTCACAGACAAGCCCCATTTAATTCTCTCCAGCAGGGAAGACAATATTGGTGGCAGGGTGGATGAAAAGACAGCTTGCTGCCTCCATTGTTCCCCACCAGCCAAATGAACTCAGTAATCAAACTGCGGTTGGTAATGACAGCTAATTGAATAAAAACAATAGGGCTTGATACCACTCCCTCTTACAGCGAAAGAGAGAGAAGGATGGATGGCTGTCGAAAATGCACAGTAGCACAAACACAAACAAAGTGTGAGCACAAAAAAAAAAAAAACCCTCACAAAGGGGCCTCTTCCCTGCTGAATGGAACATCTGGAGGCCCTACTGAAAAAGCTGTAGCCCCTTTCTTGTCGGTATTCAGCTATGACTCGCAGTGATGGTCCTCTCCGCTGCGGATGCGAAGCCCTCTGGCTGAGGGCCCAACATATTTCCCTCGGTGCGCCCTGGAGACCAGCGGGCCTGGCTCTCCATCCAGATCTGTCCCCCCTTTGAGCAGCTCCCAAACGACTGTCATGCTAAGCAGCAGAATCAACACAGATGCACGGTGGGCATGAGATATGTGGGGTACGCGTCCACAACCCTCGCTTTTCCCAGAAACACGCAAACTCTATTTAAATCCTACTTCTTTTTCTTTCACTGCTGTCAACCAATTTCTTTGTCTGCTGCTTTGTCTTACAGCACATTCTCTTTCCCGGTCTTGTTTGTGTCCGTTCTGCATGTGTGAGCCCCAGTCCCAGCTCCCTGTGCTGGAGAGCAACCTAATTCTTTCTTTTTGTACCTGTTCCCAAATCCCATCACTCAGCTAGGCCAGGATTGTCCCTTGTTTAATGGAAAGGGAATCCTGAGGGAAATGGCAGTGGGTAATAATAAACCAACCTGCCATGAAGCCAAGTCGATATTCAAAGCATTAGGGTTCAGCAGGACGACAGCTCAGAAATCCATTACTTCTTGTATTTTTTGGTTGCACTACTATATTGCACTCCCAGGGTGCTGCACTTGATTGTCGTAGGTCCCCGCTTAAGGTACACACTCTGATTGATTACACCGCTGCCACGGAGACGGGACCATTTCAGAGTGCGTTTATGAAATTATGGATCGGACTGTAACAGGTTTCTGAAGCTGGCAAATCGTCAGCCGGCACAACGTTGTCCGCGCAACCCGGGGATGGGCCGCAGCCAAACTCCCAGCTCGGCTGACATTAGCGATCATTAATTCAAGCAGACGGTTTTGACAGGGGCTTTTAGCGATTCAAAATAGGAGTCAGCGGAGAGGTGAGACAGATTAATTCATAAAACCTGCCCTCTCTGCCCTGCAATAAGGCAGCTTTGGTTATATATTTAAAACTATGACCTTGATATGATTCATGCCATTTACGGTTCGGCCTGCGGTCCTAACAGACGCAAGGAGTTTATTTTGGGTAAAAATGTTGCCCTCATTGATATCTTGTCAGCCTCTTATGGCAGCTCCACTGACAATGATGGAGAGGAGAGTGCATAAAACTTTTGACTTTATTACTGGAGCACAGTGCAGTGCATCGGCTTGATGAGGAGCGGTTATCAGCAGCATTTGTTTTGCTAAAAATCTGGCAGGTTTTTATACAGCTCCTGTGATTGGCTGTTTCATATCTCATCAAAGCAGCATTAGATCCCGTGGTTAGGCTGCTCTAAACCACTGTTCAACCCAGCAGTGGGCAGCCATTACTCTGGTTTCTTTATGCCTGTGGACAGCACCCGAGACACCCCTATCTGATTGGCTCATGTTGAGAGGACTTTGCAGACAACAAGCTCTCTGATTGGACCCTGGGTGGGTTGGAGAGAAGCCGTTTCTGTGGCCCTCATTCACGTGAGGCCGCTGGGGAGAAGAGAGAGAGAGAGGGAAGGAAACACAGGGCAGGTGGTGTTGGTGGAGCTTCTATCAGTCTCCGACTTATCTCTGCACATGCTAGCCCTGAAACTATATTTTCCTGGCCAAAGTGGGGAGCACACAAAGACGACCTGACAATGTTCCTTCCTCATTTTCCGCCTGAACTGAACTTCATTCTCTCTGTCTTTCTCTGTGGCAGCTGATTATGATGTCCATTCTCTCTTATCTGCTTGGCTCCGGTTGGCTTCTAATCAGCAGCCAGCACTCCACTGCCACTCTCCTTGTTCCCGTTTCCCAGACCGCAGCAGAGCACATCACTGACTCTTTTTTTTTTTTTCCTCAGCAGTGGCCTGCTTCCTCCTGTCTGTTGTTAGACTTCCTGCTGACTCTAGACAAACAAAACTTGAGAAGTGTTTCAGGAGGTCAGTCAGCACAATTCATATTTTGACAAACAACAAACATGGATAAGGTCAGAGACTTTGGTCTTTTATTATAACACGTTCATCGTACAGAGGCTTAGCGTGTCCAAAAAATAAAGCAGTTTTCCAAAAGGCAGATTTCTTCCCTTTCTGTTTTTTTTTTTTTTTTTTTCACAGTGATTGTGGCACCAGCGTTATCATTCCACTTTGTCAAACCATCTCATTATTTCAGTATCCTATTTGAGCTCATTTGCATAGTAAGTTCAAAGGAAGCTACAACTGGCTGATTGGGAAGTGTGATTACATTTGTAATTATATTGATACCTACAGCAAGTTAATGTGATTATTAACACTGCGAATTAACACCACGAAACTTGGACAATTATCTCTGTGATTGTATTACGCTCTTATGGGCCCGTGTGTCAACACACACACAAAAAAAAAAAAAAAATTGGCTATCGGAGGTTTGTGATTCTGCACAGACAGCTGCGCGCAGAGTCATTTACTGCACTTTGATTAGATTCAGATACGTTCTGCCCTCCATCTGCACTTCAGAACAATGGAACATGTTTTGATGAGGGGGTATTGAAAAGAAAGATCTATTCAAGGCAGCTGGATGAGAAAGTTAGAGAGCAAATACATTCTGTTTCATCCACCGCGGTAACAATGCATATTGAAGAGACAGGCTTTCAAACTTCTAAGTGTGTTGACTTCAAAATGAGTGTCTGAGAGTACAGACACCCCCCCACCCACCCACCCAGCCCCCTCCAAGCCTCCCCTTGGGGTAGATTAAACACTGTCAAGCATATGGAGGAGTCTGCTGTCTTCGTCGGTCCAAAACAACAGCCCTGTTGGATAAACAATGAGATTTATTCAGCGTGGAGAGGCAGGGACTCGTGGTAAGCTGACATGTCGCTACCAGTCCACACCAGGCTTCTCATTCTACCTATATAATATGTTAAAGCAATTACTTAATGCAACAGTCTTCTACTTTCACGTTTATGCACTGAAATGAACAGCGTCATTACAAATTCTGTTTTTAGTTCACCTGAAGGTGCCGTTTTCAGTCTCAGTTTAGGGAGAATGGAGGAAAAAAACAGGGGAACAGAACGATGAACAGAACAGACGTTAAAGAAAGAATATTGTTATCTGGCTGACACATAATTTTCTTGAAGACATGGTCAGTCAGTGGATTAGGAGTTGAACTTCAACTGCCCTGAAAGCCTCAGCATTAGACTGTCTAGACTGTCAGGCCTGGAGGAAATGCCTTTCCACTGCACTATTATGAAGACCAAGTAAGTAAGCGTTGCATTTTTATTTAAAGGTGCATGTGAGGTCAATTCTACTTCTAAGAATGTGGAGTAAAACACGGACAACACAAAAGAAATGTAGCAATTACTGACGTAATACTCTTATCATTTCTGCTGTCATCTGTATAATTAAAACAAAAATTAAAATCCACAGCGGGGGCTGCTGTGAAACACTAAAGCTCGCTTGTCCCCCTTTTTGAAATGAAACCTCCCCCAGGCTGATTGCATTAAAAGCTACAGTGTCCTCTCCTCTCGGATGTAGTGTCTGGTAAGAGGAGAAGAGAGGAGAAGGGCTAGTAATTGGGGCTGTACAGTAATAACGTGTTTAGTGTGGGCAGCACTTTCCTCAGTGTTAACATGCTGGGCCATTAATTGGCTAATGGAGTATATATGGTACATTGTGGGGGTGGTCTCTCAGGAGAAAGCGGGGGAAGGAGAGGGAGTTGGAAGTGGAGCAGCAGTTGCAGGTTGCCCAAGAAGAACGCAGTTGGCAGGTGTGAAAGTTAGGAGCTAATGAGAATATTATAGCGCAGAAAAATGGCTACCAAATTCCAACCCAGTTCCTTATAAAATACGTTTATATTCCACTATGAATATTAATGTTTTTCTTCATGTCGTCAGTATGATTTCTGTGCAGTAATAAGGAGAACGGGCATACAGGGCAAAGGGGTTTGACAAGAGACAGTGTTTTGCATTCCAGATGTTTTTAGGTCTAGGCTTATTTAAGCAGTCAGTTAATGTTTTTAATGTCTTGGTTTTGGATAAAAAAAAAAGGCAATGCATCCTATCTCATGCCTTAAGTCAGGGTTGACTTTTGTAGTAAGTGAATTACATTCATCATAAATGTTTCCTTATGTTGATGAAACAAGTGTCTACAGCCAGACTACATCTCTGCGAGACTGTACTTAGTCACAGCTTTGTTTAGAGCTCGGCCTGTATTCTAATGTCACAGCGCTAATATGTTTAGTAGGTATAATGATCACATCGGTCATCATCTAAATTTAGTGTTTTAGCATAATAACATTTGCTAATTAGCGCTACACTTGAGGTTAATGGGAATGTCACTATGCTTTTTTTTTTTTTTTTTGGTCAAAAACCAAAGTGTTGGACAAATTAAAAGTTTGACCTGATGGTGCTAATTGAAAAAGATGATAATTACAATTCACCCTGAGGGGAACCCGGATGTCTGGACTGAATTTCACAGCAATCTAACAGCTGTTGAGACGTTTCACATCGTTCCACCAGACGAAAAGTAAAAAGCACACCAAAGTTATTCGGACTCGTCCTCTGAAAACCATGATTGGCACATTTTGTTGCAGTCCTATTATTGGACTATGAGCTATTTTACAGGATAAATTCAATTTCTGAAATTTCCAACACACACCTGCTCGCGGCACCAGATAAATAGTCAGGGGGATTCGCTTCGGAAAGTGAACGCTGGCATTTTTTTCTAATGCAAAGTAGATCCGTATACTGTACATGTAATTTTTATTACATGTTTTATTCTTCACACATCAGTAGAAGTCATCTGGCAGAAAATACGCCACAGAGACCCACAGCCACCTGGGCCAAGGACGGAAACTTAACACTGTATCATTATCGGGCTTTTCTTTCTGACAGCAAGAACATGTTGAAATTGGCCTCTCACGGCAGACTGACAGGTTCGGATTGTGGATATGTTTTCTGTACAAACACACACAGACGGATCTTTTGTTTGACAAAAAGAGCCACGACCTTTCTCCCAGATGTCATGGCTTGAAACAAAAACTTATTTTGAAAGTTGGTGAGTTCATAAGAGCAAGTGACAACACGGGATGGCTCTAATGACAACAGCGTTTTTTGTTTTACGGCATTTTTGCCTGTTGATATCCTTTTATTGAAATGCACCTATTAGCTTTATCCATGTCAGACTCCTGAGGCCAGGAGGAGAAGTCTCTCTCTTTTAGCTTCATGTCGCCAGTCTAGCCAAGGCCATTATCTCATCCCAAATGTCAATATCGCCGTTTTTATGAATCTGATTAGTCCATAAAACGCCAGAGGGGCTTGAGATCCCAGTGGACTTCCGTGAACCTGTGGTAACATCATTGTCTGGTCCTTCCTGGCAGAGATCTGACATCACTTTAGCCAGATGGCAGGTGAAAAGGCTTCTGGGAATTAGTGTTTTCCGCCCTGTAAGGCCTGTGTTTTATTTCCTGACAGCACAAACTAAAGTGAGATTACACCGGGTATCAACAACCGTGCTCCGAGTTGATCATTTCCGTGCCGTACCTGGTCCGCGACGATGCAAGAAGACACCAGACCGGCTTAGAGGCTTTACAGATGACTGCACATCATGCAACATTGCATCAGGCCTTCATCAAAATCTCATTCCACAGATAATGCTGAGAAAATGGGATTTTTGGCGGCTAAAAATAAACAAGGCAGTCTATGGGTAGGATGTGGGAATTGGGTTAATCCGGCACTGAAAAATGGTGATTGTTTGAAATGTGATTACTGTTATTAAAATACACAGACATGGGAGAGAAAGTTAGGCTAGGGGGGATTTTCGCTCAGTTCTAAACCTGTCAATCATCTGTGAGGAGCAGCAGTGGGGGGGGTCAGAGGTCAGTTATGACCTGAGGTAATAGGGAAGTCTAGCGCCAGTGGGAGGTAGCGTGCTTGTATCCATGTGTGTGAGATGTGTGTTACCCTACAGCGGGAATACAACATCTGGAACCAGTGAGCAGTCTGGTGGCTGCTGCCAGGGTCACCGCAGTGGGAGGTCAAACCCCCCCCCACCCTCCTCCACCTCCGCCTGTCCTCACCCCTTCTCCTCTCCACTCCCCAACGTCCACCTCCCTGCTCCTACAATGCCAGCTCTCCTCGCTCCCGTGCAACACCATGACTGAGTCTTGTTAGCTGCGGACAGATGGGCATTCACATGGAACCATTCTCTGAGACAGGAAAGGTCCTGTGAAAGGCTCTGTTGTGTGGAAGTGGTCCCGGGGAGAGGAACGAGCACGGAGGGAGAGGGAGGGGTGGGGAAGGAGGAAGAGGAGGTCTGACTGTTTCCCTCCCAGCTCCTCTCGTGAGAGGATAAGATCAGTCCACTCATCTCCACCCACATATTTCAATACTACTGCTTGGCTTCTCCTTCTACAGGGGAAGGTATTTTTCTCTATCCTCATTACCTGTCACTTAGGAGAAGAAAGCCACTTTAGAAGTTTTAGGAGGAGTGGCCTCTCTCAAGTCCGGACTGATCAATATCTAGGATTAAACTTAAAACTTGATATGCTGCTGGAGGCCTCTCGAATCTTGGATGGAATATTCTGCGTGGTCTTACCCTTGTCTGTTTCTGCCGTGTTGCCTCCTTGCATTTCTTAAGCACTTGCACCAAATACCTCACATACCATTAAATATCTCTGGCTCTCCTACTAGGTACATTTATTCTTCACAAATAAATGTGTGTAATTTTTAATTAATCAAAATTGCCTCGGTTCCCAGGGCTAATTTTATGAAAACGTTTTCGTTTGATCAGCAGAGCCAGAACAAATATCAAAAAATAAAGAAACTCACTGTCTGGAAAATATAGAAAGAATCTTTTATGTATTGATTAATATTGGATAATATTTGCGCTGAAATGAAGAGCAGCTAGTAACATTTTACAGACAATATTAAAAAATACTTGAAACTTCTTAAAAATTCATCAGGCTGATCTTCTGAACGTCACAAAATTTTGACTCATCGAATGTATTTTTGTCTGAATTAGAGGAAGGGTATCCTCGTCACAGTTTCTAGGTTTGTAAAATCCTTACTTTTTCCCACTGAGGAACGTATATTGAATTATAACATTTCTGTGCAACATTTTTACCAGATGATTCAGAAAATAAACAAACAGTCATTTTTCTCTTCACTGTTTTTTCACAGAATTCAGGCCAAGACGCGGGAACTCCGGGAGAGGCAGGCCAAGGAGAGGGAGTATGCCGAGATCCAAGATGTTGTCAGCCGCACCTTCAGCTCAGATGAAGAGCACACCTACGCTGGCATCGGATCATTAGACTCGTCGGTAGATAGCAGCAGCATGGACCCTTACAACCACCACTACCACCTCCCTCAAAGTCCCCAGAGCCCTCACCTCCCTTTGAGCCTTCCGGACAACGGTCCACCCCTGGAAGCTCTGTACGCCCAGGTCAACAAGCCTCGCAATGGACGGCCTGCAGCTCCAGACAGGTAGGGAGCAACCGAAACAAAAAAGAATCCATACACAGGTGCTGCAAGGTTACTGCTACGATTCTGGTTCGCTCAAAACGACCCCAACTAGCTTTGTCGCTGGCGCTCGTGCGACAATCTAGTTCATTTACACCTCATCTATAATGTAGAACCAGTTGTTTGACATTATTTGTTCACTTCTACGTGTCATGGGTGACACATCATGCTGCACAGAAAAGCAATGAATTTTACACAGTGTTATCACCGGCTTCTCCCGCAGGGCGAGCAGGCAGAATCCACAGACAAGGTAAAACAACACCAGCAGCCTATCAGTAATTCTCCATGTGTTAGAATTTAATATCAGGCAGTGTCTTTTTTTTTTTTTTTCATTATCCTTGGATCCACAAGTAATCCTCCCCGGCCCCTCGCACACCTTTCTCAGAGAGTCACGCTGTATCTGAGTTGAGTTTTTGGTCGCTGGGGGGGTGGGGGGGTTTGCATCGCTCATAACCTGCATGTCAACACGAATTTCTGATGTGATGACAACGCCATGCAGAGCATGAGAAGTCATCTTGTATGTTTTTATTTCTTTATCCACCTTTTCAGCCTCAGCAAACATGGAATGGAAACAAGGATCATGGTTTCTTGTGCTGTGAGTGAAAGTGACTTAGCTCATTACATGCATTGCCGACAAGCAGTGTTAGATCCCCAAAGATAGACACGTACAGCCCGACGACTCAGTTTGCACTCAACAGAACTTATGAATTTTGCATGAACAACAAAGTCCAACCACATCTAAATCAATATAACTGTCTCGACTTGTCATCAGCACACCAAGGACCTTGCACTGTACACTTGCTAGTGAAAATCTTTAAACAACAAATTTAAATTGTAGAAAATGGTGAAAAAGTGAAAAAAGTAAAATTATGATACCTACAATATCTTGGCCGCATCAGAAGTATTATTTACTTTAACCCTAACAATTCAGCTTTCTTAAATCTTGATGTGTTGATGACCCGCTGCACATCTCGGTTTCAAAAATACAAGTTGTTGTTGTTTGCATATATTTTACTGCTCCGTTCTGAATGAGTAGTCCTCTGCTGTGCGGGAAGTGCTATGAGGACTTGAGTCAGGAGACTAGTATTACAAATGGATCGGATAATACCTACCTGCTGTGATTGACAGCTGTCACTCAGTGGGGGGGGGGGGCTTGTGACCTTTCACTGCTAGGCTCACGTGGTGGTGGAGTGTGTGAATTACTTTACTGTGTTGCGATCAAGAGAGAGCGCCTCCATGAGAGAGTGTGTATGTTTCTAAAAGGATTCGCAGAGGTAGAATCTCCATCCTGTTACCCTCCCATGGCAGCCAGAGTAGATATGACAAGGTTATCTGGCCTCTCCCATAGCCGGCTAAATCCATGTGCCAATACATCTGGGGCTCAGCGAAGGCCACTGATCCATATGTCCAAAGTGAAGGTTACCTCCACGTGTTTCCTCAGGATAGCCCTGCTGCGTCATAACAGCTGCCTACTGTAAACTATCCCACTTCCAACACAAGGAGTTGATGATAAGCCTGGCAGCTGGTTGAAAAAAAGGAAGGTAATGTAGGGCTTGATTGGTATTCAGTCAGCATGTGCATTTGGATCACAAGACTCTTAAGATGTTGGTCAGTGATAGACATGGAGCTATTGATTCTCGCTGGGAATATCAATAAGCTCTGTGCAGGGATACAGTAGTGATACCGTAGCCTAAGAGTGAATATTAATAGCAATCTGCTAAAGGCAAAGTTCCTCCTGCATGAAGGGTCTGATTTTAAACAGATGCTTTGTTGCTTTGATATAACTTTTTTAAAATACATTTTCAGTGGTTGCTTAGGTTTATTCAGATTTGGCCAAATTTCCTCTGACCATCTGAAAGCTGTTCCATATTTCTGTTGTTTTTATGTCACAAATTAGCATAATATCTTCTTGGAATGGAATACAGACACATTATACTATTTATGAGGCCGTCTCTGAAATTCATTGGTATCAAAAAAAAAACAAACATAAAAAGAACCTGTCTTATCTTTTCTTTCCCTTTCTCTTGTTTTAGCAGTTTCTTGGAAATAGTGAGTTCTCACCTTCATGGGGGTTATTTCAGCATAGAAAGCTCAGTGTTGAATGTTAATCATACGTACAAGCTTATGTTTGGTTTGGGGTCTGAGCCGTCAGTATTGATAGCGCAGTGTGCAGTTTTACTTTCAGGGACAGGATTAGCTGTCGCAAGGGTTGTTATTTGATTTGAAATATGCACTGCATGTTCAACACTGCTTTTTTGTTTTGCACCTCTCGCTGCTTTGCATATCTTGTGTATGCCAGCCCGGCTGTATGCCTGTAATATTTGTCTTGCTGCCTTTGAGATATAATAATATGCACTGGTTCTTATTTAGCTCAGAGGCTTTCTATTTACGATTTGCAAAAAGGAGCTTGAAAGACATTCAGATTCAAGACTCCCGTCACTTTCATATCATAACAAATATAAACAGTAATTTGCATTTCTAAATTAAACTTAATAGAACTTTCTTGGTATAAAGTGCCAGCATAACAGAATTTTCAATCATTTCTGACTGTTCCATGTACCAAGACGGAAAAATTGGTCTCAGAACTTTTGTTTTGCCACATACAGATCCTGTATGGCTTACAGTTTTTCATTTTTTATCCTGCTGCCGCTACTTAACCCAGAGCTGCAGAGATAACATGAACCTCCTGTTTGAAGGTTCAGGAAAAGGAAATAGATGGGGATTGCCCAGGGAAGGCTGCTGATTCCTGGCTGTCAGTAAGTCTTCAGTATGAAAGAGAAGAATGAGCAGCATTTAACTCTGACCTGGATACTGCTACCGCCTTCTGAGGTTGACCCCAGAGAAACGCGCTGTGATCAAAGGGGGCAGATTAAGGATCCCACCTCACAGGGATATTTGAGTTATTTTCTGGTGCAGTTTTGTCCCATGGTCATACATCTGATAGCAAGCCATTACCTTGTAACACACGCTGAATGAACTTAAACAACATACAGAAACACATACTTTTATTTCCAGTGTGCAGTGATGCAGTTTTCAACCGATAAAATTGTTTCAAAAGAAGTTTGAGATTCTTGCATTTCATGCCATGCAGGGAAGTTTTGTTTTTATCTTGTATATTTTACAAAAACACAGTATAGAAACAGAATAAACCAGCGCTCTGTCGTCGGCTAGCTTCCACAGTCTCCTACAGCATAGTAAATAATGTTTTATGGGAATATAACCATAGTGGAAGCCATCTGCTGATTATCATATGACTTCTAGAAGCATAGCACAACTGCAAAAATCTTATCTTGTAAAAATTGGTTCCAGGGACCAAGTAAACGGCAGTAAATTGAGTTGAAATTAGCTGACAGCCTTCCTTTATTTTTTTCGGCCCTTGCTGGGAAAAACACCCCCGAATGCTGAACAGAGGCAGCAAGTGTGTTGGAGGATGACTACATCTGAGCTAATCAGTGTCTTTCATCTAAAAAGCCACCTAGTCAAACATTAGCATAGCTGGAAAGACATCAAACAGTGCGAGCGCACCCAGGAGTCTGGGTTCCCATCAGTTTGTTTACTGTACATCCTCGGTGCTGTCATTAAAACACAACATTTTAGTCAAATAGAAGAAGGTTCTTTAGATCCAGTCAACTAATTAGAGACACTTAGGGGCCCTTCGGTTGATGTAGGGAGGTATTCCTTTTTAGAGGACGTGGGGTCCAAATGCCTGCAATTGCCAGTAACTGTACATTGTAGTTTTTGCATCTTGGACTCTAATTATGTCTCATGTGTTTATGCACATGTGTGTTCATTTTATGCCATAATAAAGGCATTCACCCATGACTGGCCAAGGGTTTCAAAGCTGCACCCTTGTTTATCCACTACAGTTCATATGAAGAAGCTGCAGATGGATAAATAGCCTGGGAATACGCCTCTCTCGCTAATAGACCTTTGATAATGGAGCCCTAATGGGAAGGTCACTGTGACTGTAAAACTGGAATGAGTCAGACCTGAGCTCATAAACCCTTGGAGATACGAGGACCCCCGGTCGCTCTGGGCAGACGGAGATCCTGTCCATTCTGCCGTATCAGGTTTTACTGTTCCTCTACGAGATCACGGTACAACAAGAACTCATTTGACAATTTATTACCAACCTCCACGTTATTAGAGCTGGCAGCACCGGTGGTGTTTTGACAGTGCTGTCAGACTCAGTAAAACTGAAGGGCACCAATAGAAATCTAGGATTTGCTCATGTTCGGTTTTGTTAAAATCTTATATAAAGCAAACGTAAATATCATTTTCCCCCCTAAAACCTGGAGCATGAATTCTACTCTGTCTGTTACAAAGTTTACATGAAAGTGGGCTAGTAGTAAACACCTCAACTCAGTGTTTTCTTTTTCAGTTGTTTTTTTTTGTTGTTTTTTTTTCGCCTTATTAAAAAAGGTAGACCTAGCAAAATGGAATGACCTCATTTCTTGACAGGCAGCTGACAAGTCAACCCCTCCATCTGCCCAGGAACCATGGGGTTTGGGTGACTGGCGTTGGATGCTGCGTTTCAGAACGACAATCTGACAGGTGCCAGGCTCGATGGGATTTGTGGGAAGCAAGCGTGAAACAAAGCATCACCTTTTGAAACCGCAGTTTGATTGACTGCTGCTCCCATTACCCAGTCGAGTTTCTAAAGCTCCGCAGAGCATGGGCATGAGAAAGAGTCGGAGAGACACAGAGAGGAAGAGGTGGAGGGGGGAGGCAAGGGAGGAAAGGAGGAAAAAGATATGGAGCTCACGGAGCTCGGCGGTGCAAAGCCCTTGAAGTCCTCTGCAACTCGGCAGCCCCAGAAAGCCTGGCAGGCAGAGAGCAGGGAGAGAAAAAGAACCCAAAGATCCTCACCTAAAGAAACACTCACTGGGCTGTTTTCCCCCCTTGCTCTCTCCACACTGAAATTCAGTCAAAACCTCCACTTTGCATGGTCTTGAAATTGGATT